TCACGACACAAACACAGATTACACTATTATAGTACGATCACATCACGACACTAGTACGATCACATCACGACACAAACACAGATTACACTACCTGGTTGAGGTGGTGGTGGTGGTGGTTGTGATGGGGTGGGAGCGTTGCATGCACGTTTTGCGATTGAAATATCGTCAATAGCGATGTCACTCGTGTACGAGGAGCCAGTGATTCCCTCGATAACAATCTTTGGAGATGAAAAAACATACAAAAACAGCATAAGCATAATCGTAATCATATGATGAATCATGTACAATCAGTTCGTAAATCAGAAATCTTAATCCTATAACCAGGCTAACAAAAGACGTTGCAGATTTGAAGGCTTTCTATCGATAGCAAGATAGTAGTGATATTTTATGAAAACATCAAGTTGTGTCATACAGCTCACTAGTTCTTTGGGAGTTTTCAGAATAGTAAGAGTACTCACATCGATGAATGGTCCAGGAAGGTCTAGTTCAGCCTTATGCCACGAATTACCCTGATTACCAGACTTTGTGAAGATTTTTTTATTGTTGTTGTAGATGTTAAGGGTGCCCATAGCGCTGCCATACATGTGGTAATAGAGTGACATGCAAACACTACTTGCTTTGGTCATTCCTTTGAACTTAAGCTTTGCAACATCCCCTTTTACTCTGGGATATGACGTCTCAATGTACAAGTAATACCCTAAGAAATGATATTTTATTTAAGAACGATATTAAGTACATTAATCCCATTATGTTACAACTTACATCTGCTTACGTYAGAATGATGTTATTACGTATATCTTGAACGTCACGTGTATTCATGGCTTCACTTACCTGAACCGCTGGTGTGATCACCGGAAGGYCCAGTTTGGGATGATGTAGTACTTCCCTTATGTCTTGTCCAATCAAATTTGTCGCTTTTTTCCTGCCACCAGGAGCCCAACCCTTTTTCAAAGTCATTAGCCATTGCTAAAAATCATCGAAAAGATCAGTTAACATACCGGGTTATTCTAACGCTGCAACCCAGGGATCCAGAGGGGGTGCTTCGGGTGCCCCCCCCCCCCCCCCTTTTCGTAGTATATATCAGTAACGTTTTTTCTGCTGTTCATATTCCTGTTGTACTTCTATTGAGAAAACGAGTAGCATACATAACATGTGTCCTGCCACTATGCTGCTTAACAATCTATTTGAGTAGTGTAGTCAAAGATTTTACAATAAAAGTCAATTTGCTTCCGGTCAAATTGTGCATAATTTTCTTGCTGTAGGCAATACACAGCTAACAAAAATGATCAGTTCCATCTGCTATACTTAGTTTTTAGCTATATATTACTGACAAAAGCGCCCCTCCCTCCCCCCACCTTATAAAATGCTGGATCCGCCCCTGCAATCTACTTTCAAGAGCATGAAATAAAGATTATTGTCGCTAATATTAAAAATGCAATGTAATAGTAAGAATGTTTTATGAAAGATCGACAAAAACCATACTTACAATCGACGGACGGAGGACCTGAAGCCCGTTTAACGACATCAGAAACTGAATAACCAGAAAGTATGTTAACTGATTATGATTATGGTCGAAGGACAGCTTGGGTTRTATACATATACAAGTTAGTATAGCTAGAGCCGATTTCGTATTAAATGAGCCAAACGAATGAAGATCGATGTCACGCTAACGATTACGATAATGACTTATATACGATATTTGCGATTCCCACTTTGAAATCAGGCAGTCTTTCAAAAAGATCAAAAATTTTCTATAAGCTACCTTCTTCGTCGAAGTCTTCAGTTTCTGGTGCATCTCTTCTTTCTTTGTCGTCTGCAAAAAAAAATCATGCAATGAAAGGCTTAGCATAGTTTCATTATATATGATGTAATATGTAGCTTATTGTTCAATCGTTAGCCGTCCGTTCTTATTCACTTGGTTCCAGTACCTTCTTCTTCTTCTGGTGCATCTCTTCTTTCTCTGTCGTCTGCAAAGAAATCATGCAAGAAAGGCTTAGCAAGATTGACTGATTTGTATGTATGTACTCATTGTCCGATCGATAGCGTTTCCCGTGGCTACATGTAATTTCAGTTTTTCAATAACCTTCTTCCTCGAATCCTTCCAGTTCAGGTACATCCCTTTTTTCAATATCATCTGTAAAGAAAGGAGATTACGTAGATTTATGTATGATATGATGTAGAATCCAATCGTTCTCGGTTCATTTCATATCATTTAAGTTTTCCAGTACCTTCTACTTCCAGTCCTTCAGCCGGTTCAGCATTTTGTTCWTCAACTTCTGTAAAAGACAAGCGTCCACTAGAGTTAAAAGTTGTAGCAGAAAGTTWATTAGGCCACTTGCGCGTTAATTCCCAAATTATATCTTAAACCTTACTTGAAAATCATAGAGAATCTAGCTACTGAAACACTTGAACAAAATCATGGCATTGGAGCAAATAGTAGCTACATTGTTATGTATGCCGGCCTATCGATTACATAGTGCGCAATTTTAAGTTTAAAATGCGTAAAGCGTTTTGAAAGATCATAATTCATGTAATTACCTTGCGCAGATGCCGCAAGTACAGCAAGAACAAGGAGAAATATCTTGAGCCTCATTTTCCAGTCCTGGCTTGTACAAGCTCAATGGTCTTACCCTGCCGTACTGTGGTGCTTATATGGGCTTCCGACGTCATTACCTTAGGTAATTGKTTCCTTTTCGTGTAAACYAATTTTCAATGGGACTCACAACTGTACACACAAAGGTCTTATTTATAGGATTTATGATAAACTTTCCTTCCAAACAATATCAATAAAGAGGAAATGATAATTATCTAGATACCGTCATAGTCCATTCAATTTATTGCTTTGTTTGATGAAGCTGTTGAAACTACACAGAATTAGATCGAGCGAGTTTTAAACGATAAGTTTTAATAATTATCGCTTTAATGAGTGATATTGATGTAGGAAGAAATGTGTATGTTGCAAGCATTTTGCTTCATTTGTAAACCAGAGTTCTATGAATGAATATTTGATGGGAAGGAGAATGGTTTTCGTAAACACGTGGTACACTTTACTACACTGACTCTGTATTGTTCTGTAAATCAATCATTACTCGCTCTGACTTATTACACTTTGTTTTACGAGATGAAAACTTCAGTTTATTGTCTTAAATGTAGTTGTCTAAACTAGTATGTCAGTGCTGKGTYGGTGAAACAGGCGTGAAATAGATATATTTTAACMCCGTAAAAAGTAGGTGAACCTATAAATAATGAAACTGGGATTAACTTACTTTTGTAAGTGTGSCTTTSGTTGTAATTTGTAAAGTARAAACTAACGCAAGCGTCGAAACGTCGAGGTCAAATTAAAATGATCACAAATACAAACTTACTTGCGTTAGTTTTTACTTTACAAASTTACTTTTGACGGTGTTAAACTTTGTCTTATTTCACGACTGTTACTTCCATAAAGAAATGATTTTATTATGTTATATTAATAAGCCTTAATATAGTCGCTATATAGATACCAAATATGGTTGTCTACAACTTGGTATAAAGTTTATTGTTTTCTTTTGTGACTTTTACACTTAAAGATTAAGATAATACTATTCAATAGTCTCTCAAGTTACTCGAGTCTGGTAGCTCTGAAAGTCCTGAAATGGTATGAAGTTGATTGAAAAAGTCAGTTCAGGGTGTTTGCAATCAAARGTGTATTAGTCAACACAATTACCAGTGGACTTTTTTCTGATTAAAAAAGATAAATTAGTTTTCATTATGTTAGATTCGACATTTTTGTTCATCTTTAAGGTGCGTAAACATTGGACCGGTTTATAATAATTGTTTYCTCTTACTTCAACAATGGCTGAGTAAAGATAGAACTTCTGATGAGATATAATGTAAATACCGCCTCTTTAATCTCCCGCGGGAGGCTGAGTCCTCCGAACGTGTGAAGAATTGATTCACAGTACTACTAACGGTTATTATTTTATAGATAGTTTCCTTATTCGGGATCTCTAGTATTCAATCTATACACAGCTTAAAGTAAGCAATTAGTTTCCATTCGTCAATTATTAGTAATCATAATTGTACGTTTATCTGGGCCTGTTTTGGCTGCAAGCAGTCTCATTTCAGTCAGTATTTTTGAACTAAGCGCAGAAAATCTTTTATCCAATAAAAATATATAAAAAAAACAAATTTTTGTCTTTTTTATCTTTCTTTTTAAATTTTTAATTCTGCTTCTTTTAGATCTTCCATTTAGTTTATATCTTAAATGCTTATCCTGTTTCCCTACATACTTCTTTCACTTTGCTTTTGATTTTCGTTCGAAGTCTTCTTTTCTTCACTTTTGGGGTTCCTGTAGCTAGTTCCCAGTTCATGCTCTTGTAAATGAACAACATGGCGGCAAGGCGAAGTATTTCGTGGCTTACAAAGTCTACTTTAATATCTCCTAGGCAGTTATCTGGTGAGTAGGATTGTTTGAAGTGTTTAGAAATATTGAAAAATAGTCGACCTTGGTTTTAAAACTACAGCTGTGGGCTGGTGGACAAATCCACAATATATAAATTAGATGGTGATACAGGCGGGATAAGGTCGTGTTTTGGGGGGATGTCGATATCTCGATCAGAGACAATAAAGTTAAACAAACTACAATTGTACATAGCTAAGTCTCCWTGAAAAGTGAAGGACCAGCGAAACTTTAAAATAAAGATATGTGCATTCATTTCACAGACATTGCAGATACATCTAAGCTTTAAATAATATATCACATACACCTCTATATTACAGATCATATATATTAGCTTGATACATGTATATCACAGACACCTCTATATTACAGATCATAATATTAGCTTGATACATGTATATCACAGACACCTCTATATTACAGATCATAATATAAGCTTGATACATTTTATCACAGACACCTATATCAACTCTTTTGCTTCTATATAATTGAGGTTAACTGAAATTTAAAATCATTTCATTGTTTAATTTATTTACAGCTACAAGGAGTGTCAGGACAAGTGCAGTATGTTTGAAGAAAACGCCCCATACAGTTGGTGTACCAGCATGGGCCAAAGCAGCACAAAGAAGAAGGAAAAGTTTGGTGAAGCTAGATAAACCAAAGACATTAGAACAGATTGAATCAGAAAATAGATTAYCTACTGATGGTGTTATGCTTGACTTTTTTACAAGTACAAGAAATAAAAGACCGTTTTCCAAGATACAAGAGAAAACTGATAAGCAGTAAGTAACACCTGATTTCCCTAGAATCTCAGGGCTCAAAATAACGGCCAGTCAAAGGACAATGTCTTTCCAAATTCACTAGATGACCGGTCAAATCAGGTTGAAAGGACAAATTGACCTGCCACATTTTCAATGGTTGTGGTTGTAAATAATGTGGTTGTAATAATAAGTGTTTCTTATTTACAGATCACATTTTTCAATGACAAAAGACCATCAAGCATTTGTCTGCTATCATCCTTCTGTTCACGACCCCAAGTCKCTGTTATTATCAAAGGTATTAAATGATACAATATCTTCAGTACTCAACATTATAAACWGCTGTGTGTATATCGCAGGGCTCGTGCTACTCCTTGAAGTCCTTGAAAAGTCCTGGAATTGAAAACTTGTTTTCAAGGGTGCTTGAAAGCCCTTGAAAATGGGGAACATCGCTGAAACTCCTTGAAAACTCCTGGAATCTGAAAAAATTGACATGTTGCTTGTTAGCTTTTGAATTGAAATGTGGCTTTTTTTGAAAATCGCTACTTGAAAYGTCTGCAAACATCAAAAAATATCGTCAAAAATACTCCTTGAAAATCTCATTTTTGTACTTAAAAAGTACTTGAAAATCCTGGAATTTTGTAGTGAAAATGTAGCACGAATCCTGATATTGTATTCATATTGTATCCTAGGAAGCATCTGAAACGCCATGGTGGTACCTTACAGCAGATGAAGTGAACAATTATAAAGACGACCTTGAACCAGATGAAGTAAGAAAACCACTACACAACAACAAAAATAAACCAATAAACTGTCCTTTTAGGCACATAGTGCAATACACCTTTTTCCAGTTCAAAGCGAGCAACGGCTGGTTTAGTTGACAACAGTCTCATGCACAGAGACCTTACCAAAACCAAAAGAAATCACGAAAAAATGTTTTCATTACAATAGACCTATAAATTTGTAATTTGTTCGATTCTGTATTCCCAGAASGTTCAAACTTTTGCTCAGGCTAAGCCTCATATCAGAGAAGATTCAAATGTCTAGAGCTATTGTAATGTCAACATTTTTTCATGCTTTCTTTTGTTCTCTATGCAAGTGAGTCTGTTGTCTACTAAAACAGCAGTCACTGGCATTGAACTGGAAAAAGGCTTGTTTAGAGTGCTGTAGATGCTCAAATGATGTAAATATAGGGCTCTAATCGGGGCTCAAGTCTTTTTCTCATTAGAATTTTATGTTTGTTTCTCTACAGATAAAAGAAGCAAAAAAACTTAGAAAGAATAACCCAAAAATATGGTCTGTTAATGCATTAAGTAGACTGTTTAAAGTAAAACCTCTCTCCATTGTGTAAGTATCATTATAAAATTGAATTTTTTAATTGTCTCAAATCAAATTATTGTCMACAATTCAGTTGTTTTATATTGAAACTATTAATTTACTTATCCTACTTTCCTAGTGCTTCCTGTATGTAAAATGCTCATCAAATTTTGTTCTCACATTTAAGAAGGTCATTATCATAAAATAAATAATAATTTAATAATTTATATAGCGCTATTTAGCAATGTCAGATCAACAGCGCTTAAAGCAAATTATGATGTAGTATTTTGGTAATTATTCTCAGTTCATTTCCTTGAAATTTCAGACTGAATGCTCCATTAACTAAGGATCAGAAATATGAACTTGAAATTGAAAGAAAGATAGTCAGTCAATGGTCAGACTTCAAGAGAAAGGAATATCGAGCTCATCAAGAAGTAGTAAGTCTAGTTTGGTTGTAGTATAGTGGAGGGTCCAGGAACTCCATTGAGGGAATGACGACGTAGAGTCTATGATTTTAATCAAAGTGCACTGGTTTATCTTCCAGGAAAGGCAAAGATACGTATTACAAACAAGAGGAGAAGCAATGCACAAAGCATTAGGCATGAAATCATAGCATGTTGTGTTTTTATGAGTTTCATTACTCAGACATATTTCTGGTGTAAAATGCTTGCATTGACAAGTGGTTTTAGTACTTGTTGACCTTGTTTAACTTGTAAGTGACTATCGAGGAAATCAGGGCAAAATCTTGTGCAAATAAACAGATGATACTGCACCACAAGTTATAATACATTAGATTTATTAAATGATGTCAATATCTACAAGAATATGTTACAAAGATTATGGTCTCGTCTCTGTTGTTTAAAGTCTAAAATCTTCCATATGCAATTTAATTCCCWATTTTTTTCCTTCTCTTTTTGACTGTTAGGATTGTTTTCGATTGTTGAAAAGAGAGAAGCCTTTAGTCAACTCTATAACTATCGTGTACATTGTRTCGCTAGGAGGTGAGTAAGCGCTCTAAAAGCGTCTTTTTAAGGGGCAAGATATAGATTGTGTATATGAGTTGATATAGGTTGTGACAATTAACAATTAACCACAACGGCGCCTAAATTTAAGTTAATTGATTATTTAGAAGACATTTCCGATAAGAAACCTCGGAACTGTCCCATACCACAGGAAATACCTTGCGTGACGTACAGGATTCACAGAAAATATAACCAAGACACGACATATCCTTGAGACTAAACAATCGATATAGGTAAATAAATAATTAAATTGAATAAATTGAAGAAAAAGGCACACAACTTGCAAATAGTATTTCTACTCTTTATTCGAACGTTTCGGCAAATAAATTATCCGCCTAGAACTTAAGAGTCAAATTCAGCTGAATTCTCAGTATTTGTCCATTGTTATGGTTCAATTCTATGATCAAGATATGGGCAGCGAGTAAAGGAAATATAGAATGGAAAATAGCCAAACTCCATGGTCCACATMCACAGAAAGATTTTGGAAATCGCATCATCGCTTTCAGGCGCATTTTCCGTCGTTTAAACAGTTGGCACTGATTCAGATCTTGCGGTACACCGGCACAATTGCGGACCGTTTTCAGTGATMGGAGCCATACTGTTTTTCGGCTCGTCGGAGCCGTGTGGACCATTGTATATATACTACACACCAACGCACCGCCAATATTGTGTTAACACCAATTTGTCATGACGGAAAGTCCATTGCGTTACGTTTTAATCATCGATCACAACTTTTTGCTCTTTTTCGAGAGTTTTTCATAAAAGTTTTTCAGTTACTCTCCAACTTTGTATATTTACAGTGAATCAATGTTGGGTATTTTTTTTATTATCTATTAATAACATTGACTTGATACTAGCGACTTCCGTTACCCGGGGTTTTTTCACTTTTTTATCTTTTTTTTTCGATTGCGTTTAAACATGTTTTTTCCTCGGATTTTATGACGTCTGTAATACTCTATGCAGTAAAAACACTACAAATAATGCTRAAGGGCCAACGGTTAAGCAATAAGCAATCCTTTGTCGCGTTGTGCCCAGGATCACGGCTGGAAAGGAGAGGCTAGGACTAGACTAGGATCAATATTGATGCCMCTTAACCAGCAATCCCCCTCCCCTCCCCCCACAGGCCATAATTTGATTCTTATAATAGACCCCTTGCAGTTCATGGGATTGCAGCTCCAACTGGAGGACAAAACAATAGATTCTAGTTCCCAAGAGGATAAAAATCTTTTGTTTTGTCCTCCAGATGAARCTGTTTTGACGTCACATGCAAGGGGTCTATAGGTGCCTTGCTACGATTTTCTTCGCCACTCTTTTTTATAGATAAGTGAACTTTTCTTCGGTATGTCGTATTCAATTATGGTTCGAATTCTGGACAACCAACCTCGATCCGAACGTAGCCACTACGGGCACAAAAGATACTCCATTTTCGAGATCTTATTTGTGCAGCCTTAACCTCGAAATCATGTAATATATTCTTTTATACGACAGAGATCCTATTGTAATGAAAAMACTCCTRCAAAAAAGACAATGAAAATCTATGCTTGATTGAAGCTAAGCCTGTACAAAAGAGAAATCGAAACTGGAGTATTGTAGACGAGGCTACAGGGAAGTAAAAGAATAAATCAAGATTATCCATTGTTTTCCCGGAGCCTCGTCTGCTATTCAGTGTGCATGGTCACTGGACCAAAATATCTAAAGTTGGCTATTTCCATTTTATCCGATACGTCCCTATATCAAGTCCCTCATTCAGAATATCTAAAGTTGACTATTCATCACGCGTCCACCCCCCCCCCCCCCCCCCCCCCCCCCCCCCCCGGTCCCTGCCATTACTCTTAATTATTCAATTGCTGTATTTCTGAGCTACTGGTGCCATACTTGGACAACAACATAATAGCTTGCATCTAAACGATGTAATTCACGTGCCAAAATATAAGCTTAAGCTTCGTTGTATTGGCATGAATAGTGCTGATTTATATGTAACGCTTGGGCTGCCTGTGGCGCGAGTCCAATGTAAACAACAGGTGGTGAGGCTTTGCTCATGCGCGTTGAACCAAACAACAACAAATTTGTGTTTCACCTGTCATTTCGTTTTGCGTGCCTTGTGTGTGTTGTTATGTGATAGTAGATTTTTATGTTTGCATCCTTCAGGCAGTTTAGTAATAGATATCCACTTCACCACGAATGACTTTGTTACTTGACGAGAGAATAAAKCTTCAATGCCGAGCTGTCTATTTGTATTCCATCATTATGTAACACTGTATATTATAATTTTTTTTCAGCGCGGAATGTCATTTATTTAATCAAAGAACTGAMAAATACCTCGTTTACCTTTAGAATCCAAAGTTGAAATTATTTCAGTATGGAAATGGTGTATACAATGCGAAGTTGCACGCAAAATCAGCATGATTAAAAGAAGAAAGAACAAAARATGCGTTTTACTGTCATAAGCGTTTTGCATGTAATCATTTTTTGATAGTTTAATTGCAAAATCGTATTTTCCTGGGGTTGTTCTTACCTACTCGGTCAGAAGYARAGGTGGACTTTATTGATCATTTGTAGTGGCATAAGTATGTTTTGTATAACCTACTTATGACAGTAGGTGTTRTWGTCGGTTACATTTAATACTGGACAGTTTGCATTGTGGTTCGCGGTGTATGGCTGTTTTCCAGTCGGTCTTCAAAAAGATTACATTACGACAAGTGTTGGTRTCGACGCCATTTTAATGCAGCTAGTTATCAGTGCTTTATTGTTTTTCCACGGTATTGAAAGACYTTCAGATAGGATGAAGTAGCAAATCAGACAAAAAATATATCGTCTATGACGTCATCTAGACTCAAAATTGTATTTCTTGCAGATCAAATTAAAATGCGGTTCGTTTGATGGGAAATCATTTTCACCACYCCACCACAAACAAACAGGTCTTCATGAATAATTTTGGCAGATTCGCACTTAAATTACTATCGTAGCTATCCCAGAAGGTCAAGGCGATGGCTTTGTCCAATGGGTCAAAGTCCGTCGCCAGGAAACCATGACGTCACCAAGCCATGGACCCGGTCCCAAACTCCACGGTACAGTTTCTGCACAACTAAATACAACGCTTACAACACCCTATGAAATATACATGATGCCGGTCGATCGGCTTCTTGTGCGACAGAAATAAAACAACCGCCATGTCGAATGGAATGTGGAATCGGAAGAATTCTGTGGCAATCCAGTCCTATTCCGCACAAAATTCGAAGCCAGAACTTACAGAAGTTGATCGTAAAAGGGTAAGTTGGTCAATTATCTGGTRCGCTCAGACATCGCAGACTAACGCACGCGCTGACGACCGCCTCATACAAAATTTTCGTCCTACGAATTTCATTCATAGAGATTCTTCACTTGTTATAAGTAGTATTGGTCCTTTAACCTTAGTTTATACTTGGCTAACTCCAATTAATCTTTATTGACAAGAGATTCTTTGGGGTTTTAAGGGTTTCAATTCATAGAATCGCCTTATATTTATGTCTTCACGAATCAATTCTGCATCTGTTGACATAATGTTGAATAAAATATTCTCGATCTGAACGTTACCTTTACTTTGTATGTAATAAGATTATTTTTATCAGAGTTTGCCAAACGTGAAGAGGTTTTTCTTTTCCTCTTGTTGCCGGAAGCTTATGTGAATGTTGGCAATTTATGTTCTCCTACAAACTAGTTTCTATTAAACAATGCTTTTCTCTTTGATATCATAACACGTACGGAAGGTCAAACTGAGGACTTATTGGTAACTTGTAGTTCATCGTAATCATTATTAGTATCTATCAAGAACAGGACCGATCTCTCTCACGATTTTGTTTCCTTTTCTACAGCATAGYTGGYTGAGGCCACAGTTGTCATATGGGTCCGTTAGTTCTTATGACAGTACAGGTACGTGGACTTAACACTGATCTTAGATTTATTTTTGTGGTATTGACATCGTTTTTCATTCATTACTGGCCATGCATTTGTTKTGATTTAAAGACAGTTTTTTCTCTGAATACTCGTTAACGTTTTGTCGTGTTTTACATGAATATCACGYYCACAAAAGATTTTTTGTCTATGATTGAAAAGATTCATTKAGCCGGTCCGAGCTCTACGCTTTTTCGCGAAACGTGAGCTAATTAAAAACAGCTGTCGATCAACTGTTTAGAGCCTTAATAACTCCCAGAGTCGAATAAAGCGCGATTTTGTAGAGGTATTCGTGTTACTTGAAGTAATTCAGTTTTGAATCCGAGACGATATGTTAATTTCAGCCACTAAAARGTAAGATTGCGTGACAAATAAAAGCTCTTCTTTTTGATGTGTTTTTCGGTATTGTTTGACTATGCGGGAAGCTATCWTCAGGAAAGTCCGCTATCTATTAATTCACACGCAAATAGTAGAGRTTTTTCAAAGTGATTTCTYCCTTTTAATATACCAAATGCTTTGACGCAAAGTCACCGGAAGTGAAAACCACTGACACAACGTCTGGTCAGAAAATCATGCCATTTACTAAACATAACAATAATAGACACAAATGTTGAGATAACGATGAATTGTAGCTTTTAATCCTTCTGATATCGCATTCGTTGCTTCATTCACGAAAACCACAGATCTTATTGTAACGATATTGTGAAACACGTTGCATCCTGATGACTCAACTTGTGAAGAAATTAATACCCAGACACAATAGAATTGTCTAACATTTTGAAATCTTTCTAATAAGAATTGTTTTAAAAGATTTAGCTAACCATTTAGTTGATGATTTTTGTGCCGACGCGTTTTGCCACGAATACATGAATACATGAAGGTCAAGAAWAGAATATTTTATTTCGTTACGTGACGCGATAACAAATTGTCAGCAGTCTAGTGGTCGTTTATACGACTCGAATTATCCACGTCGCACAGTCTTCGTTATTTATTAAAAACGTAAATTCCCTGAAAATATCGCGGTAATCGTGAGAATCAAACTTAATGGATGCTCTCTGATTGTTTAAGTCTCCGTATTCGGGATACCTGTGGTAAAATCATCGTGATTTCARGCATACCAAAYCCATTTGTTTTAACCAAATCAACCAAAATATCCTGTAAACTCTAATGAATATCCACATAAACACCATCTTGGTACAGTGATCGTGAATTCCGGTTTCTTTCACTTTGACGTTTGATTGACTCAATTTCCTTTCTATCTACACGGGGATTTTCGTGACATRAAATCATCAATTTTATAAAACTTTAAGAGTTGCTGCAGTGTTTACGGTGAAGTAGTGGAACATAGTGCTAGAAAATTACTGTAAGAGAAATTTGAGGAATAGCGACACTGATTGCACATGCGCACACAATGTCGTGGAAAACACATGAAGGAAATTTTGTCTACGATATTAAAGTAACAAATAAAATGAACATAGGAAATATGTCGTGGAAAACACATGAAGGAAATTTTGTCTACGATATTAAAGTAACAAATAAAATGAACATAGGAAATATGTAATTATACCGAGATTGACTATATTTACACATTTGCACATGCGCACACAATGTCGTGGAAAACACATGAAGGAAATTTTGTCTACGATATTAAAGTAACAAATAAAATGAACATAGGAAATRTGTAATTATACCGAGATTGAYTATATTTACAACAAGAAATGCTATCAGGGGATATAAGGGGATGGGCCCTCCCTTTTCTGAATAATTGGAAAAAAAACTAAAACCCTCAAAATGCTGGAAATCGCATTTGTCAGGATCACAATTTCAGAATTTTCCTGCCCGCCTGCGGTGGTTGATGGATTATACTGCATGGGCCTCGTTCATCTTCGTGAATTTCTGGATACAGTTATGAAATACGCTTCTGTCCAGTCTCAAACATTAGAGGGAAGGCGTGACCGAYCTCGAGATGTCTAGCAACTCTGAATACCTCATGATTGATAGTATGGTAGTGGTTGCGATGATGGTGATGATGATGATGAATTGAATAAATTTTCTTTTTGTTGCTGTTTATACTGTCCGTTGGACTTGAGTTGCATATACTGCAAAAGAATGAAGAGAAAAAGAGCAAACGATTTATGAATAGAAGAAGAAGGAAAAGAGAATCGAAACAAAGAATAAGAAAGAATTCACCGAGTTAAAAATGACACAAACAAAACAAATCTCACTTCAAGTTGATATAGATGAGCACCTACTCTACTATACGTATGTTTTGTCTGGCCGAGACATTCAGTTGCAGATAAGCGTCCGTTTCACTGTGAAGCGTCATCTCGTACGCACCTTTTAGTTTACAAGCTGAGCTTTTGTGCGTCTTTTTTAGTTGTAAATACTCGATAAGCATGTTAGTAATTTTTTTTCCGTATGTTTTTTTTATCTGCCACAAAATCATAACCAAGTATCATACTCTTCCGACTCTTSCCACTTTGAAAAGTTCTTCAAACGGAACTTGAGACATTTTTTCGAGTGGCGTGGACCGTCACCCTATTATTTAAACAATTTCTCCCGTCTTTCCTTTCAATTTTTTTGGTTTTTCTTACATCTCAAATGTTTAAATATCAAGGTTTCTGTTCTTATCAAACAGTTTGATGTATATCTGGTTGAGCGAAACAATGATTTTAAAGCCATAAATATCGTTGACACGCAGGTGCTCATCACAGGTGTCCTGTAAACAAACACCTACCGTAAAGGTCAAGGTTTGCAACGTTTTTATAGAATAACGAAATATTTCGCAATACAAACTTTTGGTTGAGTAAAACTAAAACAAAATTTGTTGCAGAGCTTTGTTCATACCATGAACAATACTGGCGTACGGTGCTCAGAGCTCAGGAGGGATGAAAGACGACCAAACTCAATTTAGAATTAATGCTTTTTCTCTTGCGCACGAAACAATATTTTTACAATTTTGGGGCATTGCTTTAACATTAAAAACCTTTCATGGGTATTATTTGTAGTCAAAATGTGTTAAATAAACGTTTGTTGATAGGTTTTCTTTCATAAATAAGTTAAATTTYYTYCSKKKTKRRKTWAAAAARRWWAARSC